ATAAACTATTTCTGTTGTAGGCAGACCCTAATTTCACCAACCATCCATTGCTAGGTCAAGAACAGCTTTGATGAGAAAATACAAATCTTCTCTTGCCTGAGGTCCTCTAAAGTTGTGCCTCAGGGACAGCAATCAGATTCCCATCTATAGCATGGGTAATGTATGCCTGAGGGAACAGCTTTTTCCACAGGAGCCAAAAGAAAGCCTACATATAACTAACATCTATTTGGGCTGTTTAATTATGCCTTGACTTAGCACTTTTTATTAATATCTTTTCACAGGTGAATCTAATATTAATATTTCTATGGCAAGGCAAGTCTTTTGCGTTCTTGTGAAGTTAGGGGATGGTGAAAAACTCATCTTTTAGATCTGCAGTTCTCCATTGCCAATTGTTAGAATAATAGTAGGAAAAACGAAGCCCGGTTTGAAGGCTTCCATACATTGTAACACCTCGTTAATGTCCTGCAAATCTGGCAATGTTCTCCATTACCCTTGCCAAAGACTAACGTTTTAGATAACAGGTCTCTGAGATTAGATGGGAAAGTCTTTTTCAGATTGTTATCTAACTAACTTACTTCCTAAGTCTGTCTAAGGGTCATTGGCCCTTTGTCTGGTTTGTGAAAAGTCTGGAGTAGCATTTTCAGGTATTTAAACCATTTTATAGTCCCTGACACAGCAATATCCCATTTAACTTACTGCTTAAGCATCATCATGCATAGGCTGTTCAATGGTGATCACCATAGGAAGATTAGCATTTGATCCTGTGCCCTTTGAACAACACCCCCTTCATGCCACCAAGTGCTGAAATGAAGGAATTCCATCGAGGAAATCCAAGCCAGCATGTTCCAATCTCAGTGTGTGTAGTGGTTTAAATAAGAATGGCTCCCCAGCCATACGCATACGTAGGCTCTAAGATTTAATGCGTAGTCATCAGGGAGGAGTACTTCTCAGAAGGATTAGGAGATGCTGCCTTGTTGGAGTCCTGGTGGTCTTCTTGGAGGAAGCAGCTCATTGGGAGTGGGCTTGGAGGTTTCAAATGCTCAAGCCAGGCCCAATGGCGCGCTCTCTCTCTCTCATTCTCTCTCTCTCTCCCTTCCTGCAGTGAGCAATTCTGGATGTAAAACTTTCAACTACTTCTCCAGCACCCTGTCTACCATCATGATGTCAGTAGACTAAACCCCTGAAACTGTAAGCATGCCCCAATTACATGCTTGCTCTCATGAAGGTTGCACGAGCATGGTCTGTCTGCACAGCAACAGAGCAGTGACTAAGCCACTAGCCAGCTGCACATTGCTGTGGCAGACATGCTTCTTCTGAGCCGAATATGGACTTTGGAGCAGGAACGCAATCAACCACTTTAAGCACAGATTAATAAACCATACTGCAAGAGTTTTGGAAGATTGTGATCCTGAGACCCACATAGGCGGTGAATGCCCAGATCAAGAGCTTTCAGGGGAGAAGAGTATCAGTAAATGTGGTCTTGTGATAATTCAAAAAGATTGCTGCTGCATATTGCCATGGTTCATAACATCTGCCCGATGCTAACACGAAGAATTTTAGATTAATAGCACTGGAAGGGGAGATTTCAAGACCCTCTAGTGTGGCCTGTATTGGGTAACAATTAGTGGTCACTCTTTAGTTCCAGGTGCACACAGGAAAGAAGAATACTGGAGAAGGAGAGATGCAAAATGTGAAGTGGGAGGAGAAAAGGAGCACCAGGAAGTTCATGAGAGCTAAGTCCAGTGCTCAAAGAGATTAAAAAGTTTAAAGAAAAGCCCAATGCTGCAGAACTAAAGGTAATAGTGGTCTCAGGACGAGATCCCATCAGGCTAAGCCTTGTCTACATAGGGAGTCCCAGGACAGCCTGAGCTATTTAAGAATGAGCCTTCTCAAAGAAACAAAACAAAACAAAACTGTCATATTGTAGAAACACAGCAAACTAATGTTGGAGGGGAGAATTAATTGAAGGAGGTATTTAGGTTAGGAGGGCTCTCCTATAGTGGGTGGAGCAAAAGGACCATGAAGAGGGTGGTCAGGATGCTAAGCAGGCTGAATGGGTACAGTGCTTGCCAGGCAAGCGGGATGAGCACAGTTAAGATTCAGCATCCATGTCAAACCACGTGGCTCTGGTGAGCTCTTGTAATGATGGAGGAAGGTCATTGGCTAATAAAGGAACTGCCTTGGCCCATTTTATTGGTTAGAACATAGGTAGGAGGAGTAAACAGAACAGAACACTGGGAGGAAGAGGAAGAGAGCTCAGACTCCACAGCTCTCCTCTCGGGAGCTGATGCCTGAGAGAGACGCCATGCCCTGCTCCCAGGAGCAGACGCACGCGATGAAGCAAGCCGCCAGGTTAGACATGCTGAATCTTTCCTGGTAAGACCGGTGCTCACAGATTATTAGAAATGGGTTGATCGGGATATCAGAATTAGCCAGTAAGGGCTAGAGCTAATGGGCCAAGCAGTGCTTAAATGAATACAGTGTCCGTGTAATTATTTCGGGTTAAGCTAGCCGAGCAGGCGGCTGGGGTGTTGGGGACGTAGCCCCACCGCCCTTATTACTACATTGTAATCCCTGCACTCTGGAGGAAGAGACAGGAAATCTCTGGCTAGTTCTGTGTTCAGTGAGAGAACAGGACTCAGCAAATAAAGTGGAGAGTGGACAAGAAAGACATCAGTGCCAAGATCTGGCCAAATGCTGGGATATAACACACACAAAAAGAAACACAAGAAAACAAACTAAACAAATTTTGTGAGTGTGTTTGCCTCTGAGCCCAGTGACTAAACAGTTCACGTCCACGTGCCTTGCTGCACTCAGCCATTGGAGGACATGCAAATGAGTCCCTACTAATGCAAGAGAAGACAGCTCCTCAGTGTTGTTCTTCCTGGACTCCAGAACTGTGAGAAGGGATGGGTCTGGAGGATGGATGGGGACACCTATCCATTTGTGCTGCATTATATAGAAGAGTTTGTCTCCATATTATAGAAAGGAATCTTCATGCTTCTGCTTAGTAGCTGAATATGTATGCATGGTTACTGGTTTGCTTGTTCTTTGCTAATCCTGCCACCACCCCAGCCCTGAAGCCCCTGGAGGACCACAACGTTGATATCAGCAGGAACTAACTAGACTCTGTATTATTTCAAAACAGGCCTGAAGCCAGACACCAAGAGCATGCAGGACAGACACCAAGAGCATGCCGGAAACATGAGGAGGATGTTAGCAAGAGGAGCAGAGACATCACCAGCCTCAGAAATGTGGCTAATCAGAGGGGCTAGACAGAGCTCCAGAAGGATTGCCTGATCTCATCAATCCCCCTGGTCTCCAGAACACTTAGGTCTGGAGATGAGATGTAAGGCAGCGTGGGGCGTTCTGTTGCTGTTTTGGGAAAGTTGTTCTGTCCCCTTCTCAGCTCTCCTAAGAGGAGCAGAACTTAAAACATTAGCTTCCCATCTCTGCTGGATGATTTCCTTAGTGAATGGCTCTATGGACCCTGATCTAGTTACAAAGGAACTTTCTGCTCTCATTATTTACCCAGTCCTGGCCATTTTATTCTAACAGTAAGAAATGAACTGGGAGTCAATGTCAGATGTTCCTCCATGATGAAATGATCACCAAGTCAGGACAAGGAAAACCCCCACAATTCCTCTCCTACCCTCACCATGGAGCCAGCTCAGCAAAAAATAGGGGAGGGGTAAACTGAGGGGAAAAAAAAGGCTGGCGGTAGGTTCAATGACTGACGGTAGCATAAGGAGCCTGGGTGGCCACAGACAGACGAAGAGTGTCTACAGGGCACAGGGGTTTGTGCGGGAGTCAGACAAAGGCTATTGTCTCTGGCTACCATTTCGCACCTCCAAAAACCCTCTGTGAAGCTGGAGTACTTATGCCTGCCCATGCGCAGTGGTGAGGATTCGACAGTGCATCATACAAACACGTGATCCATTGAAGCAGGAGGTGTCCAGAGGTTTCTGCACTTCACTCCCGTCATCAAAGAGGGGAACTGGAAAGGAGGGGCCGCTAGAAAGCAGACTGCACAGGCTTGTGTGCCAGCTTGGTTTCCTGCTCTCTGTGCGACCATACCTAGGTCCATAACAAGGAAGCAACACGGCATTAAAAACAAACACTTGTGAAAATGATGGCTCTATGAGAGAGGCTGGAAGAGGGAGTGTAGAAGAATACACAAAATATTGTCTTAGGCCTACTAAAGAAACTGCCAGTGTGCACTGCCATGTGCTAAACCATTCTGAATTCACCATTCTGAATTCAGGCCTGTGACTTCAACAAAGGAAAGCCCTCGTTTATTTTGCCTCTTCTCAGGAGTTGGCAGGTAATTCTGAAATGCTCGGTTAAATTCTGTACCATGGATATCAGCAAGTGCGGGAGCTGAGAATCTCACATGTTCTCAGGCTGCCTCTGTTGCCAGGAGACAGGTGGATTTTTGCAGCAAGGCAACACTGGGTTCTCTCCTGAAGGGCACACTGACACAAGGCACGGTTTGTTTTCAGTTCCCAGGAGTAGAGTGGTCTCTGACTGGGGCTACATCGCAGGATCCCTTATGGGGCAGTGTAAGTTTAAACATCCCGGTCTCTTGAATCGAAAAGAATGTGTCTAGATACTGACACAACTCTGAGATAATACAGTGGAGCTCTGTTTCTCATGCAGCACACACGGCTGCTGCCCATGTTCATTGGCACACACATACACACATACACACACACACACACACACACACACACACACACACACACACCTCTAAGGAACGGCCACTGCCCCCACAGCCAGTACATCAATGACAACTCACCCGAGCTGCAGCCAGGTCCCAATGACACTTGGGACTCTCTTCTGGGGACAAGAGCATCCGCTTCCAAGCTTACAGCCTGGCCGTTTTGGATGTTAGTCCCACGGAGTGCAGTGCTCCAAAGAGAACTGGACTGGATTTCCTTGTGCTGTCTTAGCTGCTTTTCTGTTACCATGAAGAAACACCACAACCAAGGCAACTTTTAAAGAAGCATTTAATTTTAGGCTCATATCTGCACAGCGTTTGATTCCCTTACCATCATGGCAGGGAGCAAGGCAGCATGCAGGTAGGCATGGTGCTGGGACAGTGGTGAGATCTTCCCTCAGATACACAAACAAGAGGCAGAGAGAGGGCTAACTGCGAATGGACTGAGCTTTGGAAACCTCAAAACTCACTCCCAGTGACACGCCTCCCCAACAGGGTCACATCCCCTAATCCTCCCCAAATATTCCAGTCAGGAACCCAGAATATGACCATATGAGCCAATGGGGGTCCGTCTCATTTAAACCACTACACCGTCCCGCTCCAGTCCCATGCAAGTCCACTCCACCCTGCTTTCCGAATCTCCATGGTGCTGAGATCCTCCTGTTGTATCTTGCCTACCAGTCAGGGATTTTACAGCTCTGACAATAAACAAAATACCAGCAACCTGAGTTCTAAGTCACTGTCCTTTCATAAGCATGGTTATTATTTGGTATTGACAATGAGGTACTCCATCAGAAATTCCAGTGTGGGAGAATAGTCCTCAACTGTTAAGAAACAGCTCCCCATGAACGTACAGCTAACTGTCACAGTCATATCTTCTTTATACAGAAGGTCAAATGGTGAGCCACCATGGTCCGATCCCATAGTCCCCTCACACTCTACAGCTGCAGATTCTTCCCCCTGGATCGAATGGCACAGAAGCACGTGGTCATTCACAAGGCCATAGACACCCTCACTCTACTAATAAGGAAGTAGGGAGGAAAGGCAGAGATCCAGGCAGGGAGTGTCAGCATGCATCACGGGAGCAGAGGAGAGGAGGTGAGGACCAGGGGTCTCTAGTCTCCTTTGCACTAGGACGCGGCACAGTACTCCACAGATAAGACGCCGGAAAGCTGAGGTCTTTCCTGGGAATGGGTCAGATCTCATGCCTGGAAGATGTTGGTCAGAACGTGCAGGTGTTGGGAGTCCCCGCAAAGGACAGCTGAGTTGTCTGTCCTACAAGGGAGCCTAAGCGCAAAGCTGGCAGTGAAGCTCTGTGTGAATCCTTTCAGGTCTCTGGATCCCCCGAAGACCTCAGTTTTCTTCAAACCACTCGTTGAACAGCCTCTGGAACCTGCCCTTGCTTTCCTGCTGGCACCTCCCCTCTGGCTCCTGATGGGCCAGCAGTGGGGGCTGCTGCTGCTGCTGAAGGTGCTGTTGCTGCATCTGAAGGTGCTGCTGCTGCTGCTGCGCCCCCTCTGGCAGGAGACCCGGCCTGTCAGCTCCCAGGTTGAGGGTAAGGCCACCTAGTCCCTGCACTAGAGTATCCCAGGAGGAAGGATTGGTGCTCCCATCCCTTTCCCCGGAAATACTTTGCCCACGGGTCTGGCAGTAGAGGCATTCACATCGGAACCAATTCTGAGTTTTGTTGCCTGAGCGGAAGATTCTGCTGTCCCTATCCACTGGGTAAGGTGACCTATGATCTCGGTGCCTGCGCCTCAGCTTGCCCAGGAAGGCTTTCTTCTGAGGGAAACCCAGCCTTCCCCAGCGATTCTCCAGTAAGCTCTTTGGCTCCACATACTGCTGCTGGAGCATCCCCTCTGCCAAAGATGTGGGGGTGCTGGAGCCAGGGGTGGGGGCCAGGCTGCGGAGGCCTATCCTCAGCTGTTCTAAGGCTATGAGATGAGCAGGTGCAGAGCCATTCTGGGAGGACTGCACAATGGTCACTTGAGAAGACGCGGAAGTTAATGCTGATTCCCATTTCGGGAGGGGATCCATGAGGAGCTAGTTTGAGCTGGAGGCCACAATAGTCCCGGGGTCTCAATAGGAAGGGGCAGGTGGTGGATTTAATGATAATGAGAAGGTAGTGGGGCTGAATATGTTCAGCCAGAAGCAGCCAGACTGTAACGAAAGGAGACAAGGGGAGAAAGAAAAGCCCAGGGTTAGTCATTGTATTTCAGCTTTCTGTTCGGCATCTTCCTAGAAGGAAAAAGCTAATTCTGTATAAATTCCCAGAACTAATGACAGAGTTTCCGAATAAACGACAGAGACAAGTGCGCTTGCTTGTTTGTTTGGGTTTTCTGTCCTGCCAGGTTCCCCACAACTGTTTAGCCACAAATAAAATCACACATAGGTCTCCATAAATTATAAAGCCGATTGGCCCATTAGCTCTAGCCTCTCACTGGCTAACTCTCACATCTTGATTAACCCATTTTTCTGATCTATGGTAGCCATGTGGCTCAGTACCTTTTTTTCAGCGGGGCAGATCTCATCCTGTTGCTTCCGTGCTCTGGGCAGGAGAGAGAGGAATCAGCTTCCTCCTTCTCAGAATTCTGTTCTCATTACATCATTTCTATTTCCTGTCTGGTTTTCCCACCTATATTTCCTGCCTGGCCAATCAGCGTTTATTTATAACATGATTGACAGAATACAGAGAGTTCTCCCGCACCAGACAAGGACAAGCCTGGAGTGATATCACACACCCGAGGATGGGGACCACAAATAGATGTTATCCAGGATAAAGGGATGGGGAGACTTTTTGGAAGGTGGCTCTGAGGTGAAGAGACCCCCACATGCACCAGCATGCTCACTGCACACATAAGTCACACACAGAAAAAGGAGCAAGAACGAGACAAAAATTAAGGCCTGCACATAAAAAATGACCAAGTAAACAGAATAAAACTAAATTTGAAAAATAACACAGATAACAAAAAATAACAGCTACACACATTATATATATATATATATATATATATATATATATGTCTATATGTCTATATATGTATGTATGTATTGTGAAGTAAGAAAAACATACCCAGGGTCTGGTGTATAGACCACTATCAAAACCGCTAATGAAAGAAGGCCTCATTAAACATAGCCAAATGCATGCTCTGGTTGAAAGTTTTACCAAGTTGAATTAATGTATTAATCCAAAGCCAATCAAAATCCTGGAACAATATTTTTCTTCAGAGAAAGATGAGCCTACATCCTATGTAGAATTTCCAAGGTTTGAAAAACAGGAATGAATTTGGATAAATCACGTCATTTACTTTTAAGCCTTATTGTAAGTGCCGTGTCTTTGTTGTGTTTTGTACTGCTATGATGGAATCACCATAACCACAAGGAGCTGGGGGTGAAAATGGCTTACTTCAGTTTACACTGCCATATCACAGTTTCCCAGTGAGGGAAGTCAGGGCAAGAACCCAGTGCAGGAACCTGCAAGCAAGAACAAACACAGAGGCCATGGAAGAATGCCGCTTACTGACTTGCTCCCTGAGAAATGCTCACCCTGCCCTCTTATACACCCCAGGACACCACTCACAATGGACTGGCCACCCCATCTCAATTACTAGTTAAGAAAACTACCACAGAGTAGTAAAAGATAAGATTTCCTGAGTAAATTGGGAGCATGGGGACCATGGAAAAGGGTAGAAGGGGGGAGGAAGGGAGGGAAGCAGAAAATATATATATAGAGAGAGAGCTCAATAAAACCAATTTAATAAAAGAAAACAACCACAGGCTTGCACATAGGCCATGGTGGTGGAAGTTTGTTCTCAGTTGATCTACTTCTTCAAAAATTATGCTTGCTTGTGTCATTTGACACAAAACCAGCCAGCAATCAGCGAGACTATTGTCATGGGAACTGATGGACACTCAGATGCACAAAAGGAAACAATCAACAAATGCCCCTTACAAATGAGTCTGGACACGGAAAGCACAAAGGGAATCAGAGAATGGTGAATCCTCAACAAACATAAATCCCTGCATAACCATATGCAAAGCTATGAACTCCAATCTCATAATTTATATATGCAGTAAATCAAAGATTTCAGAAAAAAGCGTTGGTGGTATAATAATATCCCTTCTAGAAGACAATGCACAAAAACGCCTTCTGGACCAAACAATAGGTATGAACAAGTCTTAAACCAAAAGCATGATGCACAAATCCACATGCACACAGATGTGCATAGCTTAATTCAAAATGGAATCAGTATTTAAAATGAGTAATTCAAAAGGAATATGTCAACTCACTCTATGCTAACTAAGAACTCCAAATGGTAGATATTAAATGGACATCTTTCCTTATTCTTTCAGTAAACCTGTACTGGATGAATCTCAAAACAACCCGTTTTCTCTCCGTCTCCACCTGCCTGCCCACCTCACTTTCCCTCTTTAAATTGCTAAATTAAATTGTAAGAATGATATCTCCGGCCCTGTTGTTTCAGCAAATTTGGAATCCTACACATCAGTAGTTTCTTCAATACACACCAAATACTTAGAATTTGTTATAAACATAGGAAACTCAGAACAATATTAGAAAGCTATCAAGCCATGTGACTTACTTTTTATAAGACATTAAAAACAAATGTCTTAGGAAGGGGGACTCTTAACAATTCCGTCCTTGAAAACTCTATTACCTCAGGCTCCTTCGGTTAAATCCTGAGAGCCATCACCACCCCCTCGCAAACCCTTCGGTGTGAAGCATGTAGAGCTGGATTATTTTTTTTATTATTTCTTTTTTCGAGACAAGGTTTCTCTGTGTACTTTAGACTATCCCAGAACTCACTCTGTAGACAAGGATGGCCTCAGGCTCACAAATATCTTCCTGCCTCTGGTTCCTGAGGGCTGAACTAAAGGTGTGCACCACCACTGCCCAGCTAGAGCAGGATCTTGAGATCGAGAACTCCCTATTGAGAATCAACTGTCACTAGAGATTCACACATCTGATCAGTTTTCCATGTCACAGAGACACTCCCAGTATATTTTTTCATTTAGAATGCTAATTCTCACAGGGAGAAAATAAGTCTCACAAGGACCTTTAATCAAGAAATTGCCTGGATTTCAATAACATCAAATCACAGAACAAACTAGCAATTAACCACACTTTGCTCTCCTTCTCTCCCACACTCCTGAGAACTATTTCCTGTCCTTTAGTGCCACAAAAAATGCTCATGAAGCTACTCATGAGCCTCTCTAGAGATTAAATACAAGGTGGCCCACAAATTTCCCCTATTTGGATACAGAGAGCAGCTAGGGAAATAGATATGACTTCCATCCTTCATCTGACTTCATCAACTGTCTCTTGCCTCAGAGGGATACAAATCATACATCAAACATCAGTTGAAATCAAGGCAACTTTCTGTTTCCTCCACCTCCATCATTCTTACCACCACCACCATCATCAAAACAATCAACATCATCACCAGCACCAACATCATCACCATTATTGTTTAAATAAGGCTACCTTCTGTTTCCTCCTCCTCCATCATCCTCACCACCTCCATAAGCATCATCACCAGTACCAGCATCATCAACATCCTCAACATTATCGCCACCATCATCATCACCATCATGGTCACCATCACCACAATCATCACCATCACCACCACCATCACCACTGCCACCACCACCATCACCATCACCATTGCTATAATCATCTCATATATCTTATGAAGAGTGGGAAGAAACAATGACTGGACAAGAAGAACAAACCCAAGATGTTTATTGGTCAAAGCTTCTGTTTGGAAGTGTAATGTTTCCCCAGAGTAGTGGTCAATATTATGTGTCACCACGGGTAGGTTGTGGTGCCTGGTTAATCAAACACTAGCCTAAATGTTTCTGTGAAGTTCTTTCCAGAGGGAGAAATTTTACTGCCAACAATCCCAGCCTACTACAATTAAACCTTAAGAGACACATGTTAGATTGTGTGAATGGACCTCATCAAGTCAGGCAAAGTCTGAAGCCCCTCCCAGGGTTGAGGTAATGCAGTTTCCTGTCCCCAGCACACAATCCCTGCCTGAGTTACAGCATTTCAGTTGGCCTGCCCAATTAAAGCTCAAAATTACAACATCACTTCTTCCATGAATCATATCCAGCCATGACACCAGCCCTCCAGAATCTGCACTTGCCAGAGTTCACATTCTAGTGCAGGCAATGCCTTGAAATGCAGGACTCTAGCACTAGACAGGGATATGCAGAAAGGCACAGAAATGACATAGATTTCTGATTGATATAGTTTCTCTACAGATCACTGATGGAGGAGGGTCATCTGTCTATATGTTCCTTTCATTGGTTAATAAAGAACCTGCCTTTGCCCTTTGATAGGACAAAAAATTAGGTAGGCAGAGTAAGCAGAACTGAATGCAGGGAGGAAGAAGGCAGTGAGGCAGATGCCTCAGGAATATGCCATGATTCTCCAACCAAAGACAAATGTAGGCTACAATTTTTCCTGGTAAGCCATCACCTCGTGGTGCTACACAGATTATTAGAAATGGGTTAAGCAAGGTATGAGAGTTATCCAGGAAGAGGCAAGATATAATGGGCCAGGCAGTGTTTAAAAAAATACAGTTTCCGTGTAATTATTTCGGCGCATAAGGTAGCCAGGCGGCCAGGAGCCGGGTAGCAGTAACGCAGTCCACTGCTCCTTCTACAAATGGCCCCCAGACGTGAATAACTGAATCAACAGAAAGCCTGAGAAAGCTTGGGGAAGAATAGAGTAAAGCATGTTTTCTTGGTAGTAGCAATTTCTTGGGTTTGCTCTGCTTGCTAGAGGCAAGCTCTCTCATCTAAGAGAGGCTTCCTGACTCAGCTTTAGCTACAAAATCCTGCAGCTCTTTTAAGAGGTCCTGCCATTAAACACTTAAATGGTGTTGACGAAAAGCTGAACACATGCTTTTTGGTTTTCAGACATAGCAGGAAAAAGCTGTGCCATTTTAAAATGCCGGCTTTCTGGGCTGTCTTGCCAGTGCAAAACTCTGACTCTTTCAGGAAGGCAGCCTGACTGAGTGTGGTCTATGAGCAGAATGCTGCAGCTTGCTTGCTGGCAGGGACCTTGAAATGCCATAGAGTTGTGGCAATAAACATGGTTACCGTAAGTACCTTAGCCATGAGGCTGGAAAGCTAAGGAATGGGCTGGATCCAGTCATCAAAGCCACAGCTTTAACCCTCTCCTTAAAGACTCATGTAGTCAGAAAAAGAGAGATATACAGTAAAGAGAGTTTCAAAAAAAACTTCTAAATGGTTTACAGTTTGTTAAAAATATATACAGGCTTTAAAAGGGGGTTAAAGTCCTTAAAGATAAAGAAAGAAAGACAGTTTGGGTGTGGTGGTACACATCTTTAATCCCAACACTTGGGAGGCAGAGGTAGATTGACCTCTGTGACTTCAAGGTGTGGTAGCACACACCTTAATCCCAGCACTGGGAAGGCAGAGATAGAGAGGATCTCTGAGAGTTCAAGGACAGCCTGGTCTACAGAGTTATTCCAGGACAAAGATATACAGAGAACCTTTCTCAAAAAATAAAAGTAAAAATATATGAAATAGATGTTAAAATAAAGCTGCACAAATTTGGAAAATACACAGAGAATCTTGATACTGTATGCTATTATGCTCTCTTTGAATTGTTTGAATGCTGAGGAAGGAGCAACAGCTGCTAAAAGATATTTGTTTATAAATGCTGCTGAACTCATCCAAGATAGATATTTTGAAAATACTTGGATCTAAGGTTATAATGCTTTGGAAAAGTCCTTTTGTTTTCACAGAGGATGAGACCCTGTGGATTGCTTCTATCCCAATATGGTATGATAGACCACACCCTCCTGAAAGGTTGCTGTGAACACCTTCAAAAAATTACTTCACTCAACTGCTGTTACACCATGGTTACACCATGAAAAATCTGGTTAACAGCACCCCCATTCAGCAGGAAGCAGTTTGGAGAGAAAAAGAAACTGCGCCCATCTTCCCAAACATTGTTTATAAATATTCTTTTACATTTAAAGGGGGATATGATATAGATATGAATAATTTGCATTGATATGCTTTAGTGATTTAAATTTAAGGTCAATTTTGTGATATGTATATGTATTTCTGATCTTGATTAAGGTATTGTGATTGTGTAGTTCATTTAAAATGCAATGTATAATTAGGAAATATAGGTTGTTAATAAATAATCATCAATAATAGACAAGCTTGTAGTCATGTTAGTTATATTTTCTAGATTTATAGAGATATATTTCAGTTAAATAGGCATTCTTCATATCTTTCAAAGACTACAGAATAAGGCATTTAATGTTTTAATAACTTAGGGCTTTCCATGACAATGAAACACGTCTGCTCCTGGCAGCACCAATCTACTTCAAGAGGAAGATGGGCATCAAAGAGGCTTCTTATGGAGTTGGTTAGCCATTTGGGCAAGAAACTGCTCTTTCCTGGATTGTTGCATAAACTGGACACAAAGAACCCCCAGAAAGAGGACTGCTGAACTTGCCTAAAGGAGAGATGATCTTTTGGGGTTCCTGATTCATGAAAGAGTCTGCGAGACATTCTGCAGGACACAGCAGATATTGACTGAACTGCCTTTGAAATTTCCTGCCTCATGGAAATGTCTGCTGGAAACTATGGGCCTGTAGGCCAAAGATAGAAGCCCCAACGGTATAGAGGAACTTTGGGTGACTGTCCAGGCAGTGAGATGTCTCTGTAATTTCTAGAGTTTTGAAAGTTGCTTACTTCTCATTTACTTAAGTAATATTATATCCTTCTGGAGTCTTTGATGGAGTTGAAGAATAGATAGATAGTTATAGTTTTCCTTAGTTATGATAAAAGATAAAATAGATATAAATATTGTAACTATAATTCTTATTTGATAACTGTTTTGTTATATGTAATTTTACTATGTTGAAGTGAAAGCCTTTCTTTTTTGTTTAAACAGAGAAAGGGGAAACAATGGAGGAGGGTCATCTGTCTATGTGTTATTTTCATTGGTTAATAAAGAAACTGCCAGGCAGGGTGATGGTGGCGCACGCATTTAATCCAAGCACTCGGGAGGCAGAGGCAGGCGGATCTCTCTGAGTTCGAGACCAGCCTGGTCTACAGAGCTAGTTCCAGGACAGGCTCCAAAGCCACAGAGAAACCCTGTCTCGAAAAACCAAAAACAAAAGATAAAAAAATAAAGAAACTGCCTCGGACTTTTGTTAAGGCAAAAAATTAGGTAGGCAGAGTAAACAGAACTGAATGCAGGGAGGAAGAAGGCAGTGAGGCAGACGCCTCGGGAAGACGCCATGATTCTCCGACCCAAGACAAATTAGGCTAGAATTTTTCCCAGTAGGCCACCACCTTGTGGTGCCACACAGATTATTAGAAATGGGTAAGCAAGGTATGAGGGTTAGCCAAGAAGAGGCTAGATATAATGGGCCAGGCAGTGTTTAAAATACAGTTTCCATGTAATTATGTCAAGGCATAAGCTACCCAGGCAGCCGGGAACCAGGTGGCAGTAACGCAGCCCACTTGCTCCTTCTACAGATCACAGCCACAACATGGCACACCTGCCTGCAGAACAGCTTGAAAACATTGGCTGAGCCATTGTGTTGCCAAATGTCAAATGATGTAGACTAGAAAACATGGGACAGACAACAGGTTCCATAACGTAGTACTGCCCCCCAAACACAAAATATGTGCTGGAGTCTCCCTTCATCCTTCACTAGGTTCACTCCAGAAACCTGAGGTAGGTAGAAAGACTGTCATTTCACAAATACAAAACTTGAATACTAAGTACAGAGAGACCAGTGGCTGGATCTGACCTGGCATCTGGTGTCAATGAAACCTGTTTAATAAGATGCGGAAGGGGACAGGTTTGGATAGTGGAGCAAGGCAACATCTCAGGCAGCTTCCAATGGCACAAAGGATCCAAACAAAGTCACCTGTCACCTGTCCTGTGGTATCCACCAACCAAGAAGAGACAACAACTGGCCTAAGGGGAGGCTAAAACTGAATTAGAAATTCCCATGCAATATAAAATGCATATGTGTAGTTGACAGAGGAGGAATCCACAGGAAAAGAGCCAGCATTCTGATCAAGGACCATCCATAAGGCTTGGTAAAGGGTAGAAACAGAAATGCCCCTGACCCATCAGAGCAGTCTAGAGTAACTCCTGTGTTCCGTGCTGAAGGCCACGAGGTGAGTGGGAAGTCTGTCTCCCAAATAACCCCCAGCAGCAACAGGCGAAGTCATGACAGGAAACGTGCCCCTTTCTTTCCTGCTTCCTTCCCCCCGCACATTTCCTTCCCATCTACTCAGAGAACACTCTGACGTGGCTATGCAATTCTACTCCTCCTTCACTCTTAAATTTCTGTAATAGGGTCTTTCTCTGTAGCTCAGACTCTTCTCAAACATGTCAATCCTCCTGCTTCACCCTTGTGAGTGTTTGGATTACACACATGAGCCATCATAGAACCCTACTTTGGTTCTTAATAACAAACTTATTTCACAGGTAAGACAGAACTTCTCTCAGGATGATATATAGGCACATGGCACATAGATGATAAATAAAGGCACAGAGATCTGTGCTATTTGGGAATTTGTCAAGAATTAGAGCTCTTGTCCTGAACTAACATACCACATTGCTCACTCAAATATATAAGCACAAAGATACACAGTGCTCATGATGTAAAAGTCTGCCCGTGGCCGTGAGTAAAGAGAACCCTTCCTCACGAAGGAAGAGCAATTTCCAGCTTCAGTAAACAGTCAGGAGGATGTAGGGAGGGTGCTGGATGCAGGTCAGGTACACTCTGTGATCTACTGACGCCATTGAGGGCCACCAGTCTTTTCCTGAAATCTACAGATGCCACAAGCCTAGTGTAGCAGAGAACTTTTTATTTCTGTATCTTTCTTGAGAGCAGATAGCCCCAAAGCCCCCAGCAGGTATTCTTTTCCACTCATGTTGGTCACCTATGGGTCACTCACCCATTCCTCTGGCAAATGGTGGCCAGTGGGATAGATGATGGCGGCAGCCTTTGAGGAAATGTTTGGCATAGGTGTTACAAGCCAAGAAAACTTTCACCTGTAATCCACGGTTTAGAGCTCAGCTTACACAGGACGTCTTCCACAAGGCCTTCTCCATTTTCCATCCCACCATTTGGTCTGGGGACCTTCCTAAGATTCCAACACCACCCTGTATTTTCACTACCCCAGCCACAGCCTATTCAGTGGTCAAGGCGTGGTTATCTGTACACCTAAATTACTAGTCCGGGAGCCAAGTGAGTGGCCAGTGAGAGTCCCTGGTCACCGTTCACAGGACCTTGACCCTAGTAAATGTACACTAGCCTCTATCACAAGAATTGTGGAGAACTCAGGTCTTTTTGATAAACATGTAAGACTGTCAGCCTCCTAGAATTGGTATTTTCCACATTGCAGTGGAGGAGAGCCCCAACACTGAGCGCCTGGGTAATGTGCCTAAAGATCACATAATCACAGAGAATGGAATCCCGGCCTGGGTCTGCCTGACTCGAGATGTCTGCTCTTTGGTGGTGGAGCAGAACCTATTCGGATTCTAAGTCTCCCCAGAGGTCTGAGTTAGAGATTCTCTTGGGACACAGTGTTCAGACAAGGAAGGCACGGAAGTTAGTGGGTGCCCAGAGCAGGTTAAGTGGTGTGGCACACACTTACCAACCTGCACTCTGGCCATGCTGTGCCCTCAGGATCTGGTGACTGCCAAACAAACCTTGCCAGTCTATGAAGCCCAAAGAAACCTGGCCAGGCTCCTTCTCTCCCTCATCTGCACCCCAGTGTGCACGAGGATTAATGAGTGGCTGAACAAGCAAATGCTTGCAATGTGGAGGCCATCAATGCTACCAGTAGAGGTTGTTCACTTTGAAAATTAAATGTTATCTTTCCCACCTTCCCATCTGTAATAAAGTACACTTAGGAAATGAATTTATTTCAGTTGAGGAAAATAGAATTTATTTAATCCATTTGTTTAAATAATATCAGGAAATTTTGCTAAAAATGTCAAAATCTCACATCTGTGCTAAGAAACGGGTGCTGAAGAGTGGCCACCTACCACGTGAAAGGGCAGCAGGGGAGAGCCTGGATTCCAGCAAGGAACACTGCACAGACAGGTGAGTTGTCCAGGTCCTGACTCACCGGAGTTCTCTGCTGTCTGTGCCTATCAGGATAGATCCTATCTCACCAGGCCTGGAAGAGAAGAAAGTCTTCTTAGCAGTGTCCCTAGAAAAGAACATCAAAGTCACTGGACGCTGAGTGAAGCCCAAGTATGAGCGTGAAAGACGAAACGAGCAGGACATTGAGCAGTTATCAGCTTGGGGAGCTCCTGCATTGGGGAGTAAAGACGTCGACATGAGATGTGAGCTGCCCTGGAAGTTGAAAAGAAGGACTCAGGGAAGAGCAGAGGACAGAGCAAAGCACCAGGGGGAAGAGAGTCATTGCTCACCAGTGACAAGCCCCCCTGGCCACCACAGCCACTAATCTCTGTGATTACAGCATAGATCCTGCCACCCACGGCCTGTGTGACACCGTCACGTCTCCTACAAGTCGACACCACCAGACTAGCCAGCGTACATTCGCCAGGCATGTATGCCTTCTTCTGGACACAGTGGATCCATCAATAACATGACCAGTGGATCCCAACCCTCAGAACAAGGCCAGTGTGGTGAAGCAAAGTTCTGTGAAACATAAAGGAAGACACTGGGGTCTGCACGGCTGCTAGACCCTCGGGAAGAGTAGGGAGAGAAGACACAATACTTGTCATCGCCCCAAAGGAACAGAAACTTAAGAATCAGATGTGCCATGGTCATTCAAAACAGAGGCGGTTCCACTAAAAACAGCTGGCATGATACCACTGCAGAACACGGAGGGTTGTGTAGCCGCTGCCCTGATAACACACACTTCTAGACGCTGGACACTGCAGGGATAAAAGGCGCAGGCTTTCTCTGGGTGAACGGAACGATAAGTTGTGACACTTCCTGTATTCACACACAAATCCTGCAAGATCACTTTGCTCAGAGACTCCTAAACTGCAGGGCAGGACCGGATGTGAGAATGCCAGCAAGACCTGTGATGGTGTCAGCAGAGAGGAATGAAACACAGAGGAGATCCTGGGGCTCCATGATCACGAAGGGCTTAGCCTGGGTGTGGAGGGCTTTGTTGTACAGGCTGGGTAGCCCTTCCCTGACACTGCGTTTTCTTTCTGAGTAGATGATATATGCATATATATCATGAGATATCTTAGGGCTATAAAAAGCAAAATTGATTTCCTCTTTATATACACAAAACCTACAGGTGATTTTATACAGTTTTATACTGATATAATTCATGCACATTTAAAGCATCCCGTGTGTTTCTGTCTTTCTATTTGTCTGTGTGCATGCTCAGACTGAACGCAGATCCCCAGGCATATAGAGCACACGCTGGACCACTTAGACACCTCCCCACCCTAGCTTCCATTGTAACAAGCTGCCAGGAGGAGGTCAGCTCTGGAATTTGTGTCTAGTTTCAAAGTGGTGCCGGGAAAGTCTCAGGACTTGGGGCATTTGGATTTGGCAGGCTCACATTAGGGCTGTTCAAACAGTGTTGCTATCCTCCCTGCAGATGAGGCAGCTGGCCATCAAAGAAGCTCAGTAACTCACTAGTGGTCACACAGCTAGGTTTTGATGGTGGCCACTTCTTTTCAGGCTGTCTTTACTAGTAGCATCAGTAATCTAAACTCTCAGGCCTGCCATCTAGGCTTGAATTTGCATCCACCATCTTCTAGTCACAGAGGTCTTTAATTCCTCACCATCTGGTAAATAAATTTTGGACACAGATTCTGTTTCAGTAAAGGACTATCACTTGAGAAGACAGCTGGTTCTCGCAATGCACAACTGGCTGCCCGTCCCAGCCCTGAGTGAGGATGTCGGGTTTCCTTTCCACCCTCAGGCAAACTAAAGAAAATGGGTAGCGGCCATTATCTTAACCTAGCTATCTCGTGCAATCCATGTACAAATTTCACAGTAACTGACAGGTGTTTCCTCACAAAAGCTACTGAGAAAACATTTTCTTAGATGCCAAAGTATTGTAGGTGAAGACACTGCCTCTTTGACAGAGAGCTGTTGAGCAATTAAAATATAGGAACCCTTCTCTATTGCTCGCGAGGTTCAGCCACAGAAGGACCCTCACTTGATCTTTTTGGACAAGACTAAGGAACCAGCGCCTACACAGAGGTCAGCACACACATCCATACTCTGCCAACAGTGTGAGTCAATCTAGAGAAACCATATCGGGAAGGCATGGAAACCTGTGCAATCATAACAAGCAACTTCCCATCCCACAGAGGTCTCCTGGCCAAAACCAGCTGTCCTCCAGAAGCCGGGACAACACTTGGGCCTTCTCAATGAGTATCTTCTGATGCAGCTGGCATCTGAGGACATCTGTCCAAGTACTTGCTGCTGACACAGGAATCACAGAGCTCAATTTTTTACCTGTCTATTTCTAAGTCACGTCCTGGTCCTCATGTTTGTCAGGAATCTCAAGGAGAGTTTCTCTGACGTTTCTATCTGGCTAATGTTGTCTCCATTGAAAACAGTAACTCTTCAGGGACTCTGTCTCACACTGTAGGGCGGCAGATAGATGGTGTGGGCGGCTGGCAATGCCAAGGAAACAAGTCATCTGTGAGCTTGAACACAGACTTGAGCCCCGCGACAGCCCACGGGCCTAATGGTAACTACAGGAAATGGTGGTCCCTTCTCCCTGTAAACTCCCAATCCCCGGGGAAAGAAAGAGAGATCCATCCCACAGAGATAGCTCAACCATGATTCTAACACTGAAGAGAAGTGCCTTCTGAGAAAAACAAGGATGCTTCTCAGAAAGCACCATGGTGGCGCGCTAAGGAGGGATCCTGGCCTAGACCCACAGGCACACAAGCCCCATTCTAGAAGCTTCTCTCTGGGTTTCACATCAACTTGGTCCATCCCAGGGAGCCTCCCTCCTCCTCTCCCACCCCCTCCCCGCACCGGTTCCCAATTCCCTCTTTTGCCTGTTGCTCCCACATCTCTCCCTCCCTCCATCTCCACAGAACCCTCATGCCCTCTTTCTGAACCTCTCACGAAGCCTTCACTGTTTCACTCTCTGGGTCTCTCTGGCTGTCTCCCTCCGGGTCTCTCTGGCTGTCTCCCGGAGGTTTCCTCTGAGAAACAGGTGCAGCAGTCTGGCGGCCAGAGTACCACTTCCTTTGCTGAACCCTGGAAATGCGGCTTGGCTCTCAGACAGCAAGGGTTAAGACCATCAAGAGGAGCGGTCCTCCAGAGGCTAGAGAGGCCTTGGCGCTGCAGGCAGGGAGTGCAGGCCCAGCTGGTGTCTCCCAGGCAAGGAAGACTTTAGAGAAAAGGCATCTTCCTTAGCTGCCTCTGCTGCAGCCCGAATCTCCGGGGAGACGGCAGCGATTTTCTCGCCAGCAGTGGTGCATAGGTCGTCGCGGCCCGCACTGTCCAGCTCAGGGACCTGCGGTCTCTATGGAGACCGCTCTCCCAACGAAGGGACAGTAGGCAGCAGCCGCCTCCAGGCACCTCCCCACCGTGGGGTGCTCCCTGGGGTCAGGGGAAGAGATTGTGGGCAGCGGAGGTGACATCACGTGGGGGCTCCAGGAAGTCTAGGAGCCTTCTTGAGAGCTGCCTGCCCTGGGATGCTCTGGTCAGCTGGGGTCCACAAAGTCAGGGGAAGATGAGTCTCTGCTCCTTGAGTTTACTGGTTGTCTTTGAGTGAGGGCCTGCGCTCATGGGGAAAGAAAAACCAATGAAGTAAATGAGTTGCACCAAGGCTGCCAGACATGGGGATCGAGTGTCTAGGTGAATTTGCTGTTTGGTTTGCAGTTTCATGATTGAGACGTTGGCTGTGGTGGCATATGGGGTTGGAGAGGAATCAGGGGAACTGAACTCTCAGGCTGTGTGCTGTGCGGGGATTTTTTTATCTCTGTGCCCAGGTAGTTTAGAAGGAGCCCCCCCCCCCCCCCCCTGAGTGCTTGAATTCCACAAGATTAATCCAAACATCAGCCATCAGCCCACACCTTCTGCACCACTCCCCCTCCCTCACTGCTCCCTGTCAGGCACCCACTTCTTCCCTGTTGTTTAGGCTAGAGCTGTGGTTCTCAACCAGAAGGTCGGGACCATTTGGGGGCCAAATATCAGATATCCTGCATATCAGATATTTACATTACAATTCATAACAGTAACAAAATTACAGTTAGGAAGTAGCAATAAAAATAATTTTATGATTGGTTATCAACACAACATGAGGAACCGTATTAAAGAGTCACAGCATTAGGAAGTTTGAGAACCACTAGTATATAGATTTGAAGCGATCCTTCATAGGTGCTTCTCTCCACAAGGCTGAAGACTAGCCAGGTCCACCCACCATATCTATCTGTGGGAGATCTTTACAAGTCTTTATACCTGCCACCACTATTGGTTCCCTAGTCCACAGCTACTGAATGTAGGAGCTGTACACATGTGGCAACAGAAAAAAAAATTGAACATTCAACAATGAAATTGAACTTGAAATCAAATGTGTAAGATATATAAGATAATTCTGGCAGCTTTTGCTCCAGGTGCACTGTGTGACATCACTACAGCTTTAGTTGTGAACACACAATCTGTGCCTTGTGCATGTACCACCGATCCATGCTGTGCTGCACCATCAGAAATACTTGGAACACCTCGGGCTATCAACACTCTCGTGAGTCATCATGTCATGAATTAAAGTGTTTTGCTGTGTGTACAGAGTTCTCTGCTCTTATAGAAACACACGGGAAACAAAGGCATTTCTTTCTCCTCCCATCATTACTCAGCACTAAAGGACCAGATGTCTTTTGATTGTGTTGGGTTAAAATGCTAGATTTGCCTCACCCAACCTTCAACTTGATATGCCATGTTTGGTTGATATCCATGGCCTGCCCTTCTCTAAACAGAAATGGAAGAGTGGAGGGGGTAGGGGTGGGTAGAAGGACTTGGTGGAGAGAAGGGGAAATAGCAGTCAGGTTGTAAGAAACAAATACATAATTATTTTGATATGATTGAGTTGCTGACTTGGGTTAATTTTTTAAATGGAATAATGAATTTTGATTTGGGATTCAGATAAAATTTTCAACAATTTGTGAAATGGTTCTAAGCATACTTCTGTTTTGCCATTTTATATTACATATGTACATGAAGCTGAATTCATTTATTATAAAATCAAATTGACACTGGGTGGTGGTGGTGCACACCTTTAATCTCAGCACTCGGGAGGCAGAGGCAGGCGGATCTCTGTGAGTTCAAGGCCAACCTGGTCTACAAGAGCTAGTTCCAGGACAGGCTCCAAAGCCACAGAGAAACCCTGTCTAGAAATCTAAAAAAAGAAAAAAAATCATAATGTCAGTCAACTCTGAGAAATGTTGAAAACGTTCTAAGTCTTGCAGATCAAGATTTAATTCTGTATGTAAAGATAAACAAGCACTTCCATCTCATTATTATGTGAATTTGCTTGCATCTTGAATAGATGGTGAAATTATCTGCCTACCGTGACGTCATGAACCCGCACTCCTAAGCTGCTGGACACTGTAAGTTAGTCAGATCTCACACCCTGAAGAAATCACCCCATGCCCTCGACCACTCTGTAACCAAGAGTTAAGAAACCAGTTGTGCTGTGGTTTTATGTTGTGGACACAGGTCCTTGTGTTCACAGGTGAGCACCAGAGAAACTAAAAATGTTAAACACACAGGGTTGTCTCTTCAAAGAGATGTGTAACCTATAACCTGTTTTCTACACAGAAAGCTGGGAATTGATGTGTGATATCCTTTTGTATATGTGTTGCTTTTATTGATTGATGAATAAAGCTGTTTGGATCAATGTCCCCAGCTAGGTCCCTGGGCAGTGGAGGAGAGGGTGCCAGAACTGGCCTTGTCCCTGTAGTCAGACTGATGACTATCTTGAATATCACCATAGAATCTTTGTCCAGTGACAGATGGAGATAGAGACAGAGACCCACATCGGAACACTGGACTGAGCTCCCAAGGTCCATTTAAGTGCAGGAGGGAGAATATGAGCAAGGAAGTTAGGACCGCAAGGGGTTGGTGCACCCACTGAGACAGTGTTCCTGATCTAATGGGAGCTCACCAAAGCCAGCTGGACTGGGACTGAATGAGCATGTGATCAAACTGGACTCTCTGAATGTGGCTGACAATTGGGGCAGACTGAGAAGCCAATGATAATGGCACTGGGATTTGTATCTACTGCAAGTACTGGCCTTTTGGGATCCTCATCTATTTGGATGTATACCTTCCTAAGCCTGGATGGAAGTGGGAGGACCTTAGACTTTCCACAGGGCAGGGTACCCTGCCCTCTCTTAGGACTGCAGGGGGATGGCAGAGGGTGAGTGAAGGAGCAGGAGGGAAATGGGAGGAGGGAAGGAAGTGGAAAGTTATAATGGTATTATTTATAAAACAATAAAAAATTTAAAAAAAGAGTAGGCAGAGTCAAGGAAACACCATGTAGCTGCCAAAGGAGGCTGATGCCATGTAGCTGCTGAAGGAAAAAGATGCCCAGAACCTTTACTAGTAAGCCACAGCCTCATGGCGATACACAGATTAATAGGAATGGGTTAATTTAAGAAATAAGATATAAGAGTTAGCCAGGAATATGCCTAAGCTTTTGTCCAAGCAGTGATGTAATAAATATAGTTTCTGTGTAATTATTAGGGTCAGGGCAGCCAGGAAACAAGTGAGCAGTCTCCATTTACAGGGAATGAATGTGGTTAATAGCCTGGTGACGTCTGTACTATATGTAGGGCCAGACCATATCTGGTTGTCCCAGAGTCTTACGAACAGGACCAGAGCTAGTTACTAGACTAGGTGACCTCTGCGCTGTCGTTATGACTGAGACCACATGAGATCCCCCAAAGTCTCTTAGGATGACACATGCAGTCCATCTATCAATCCCATCTTTAGGGAAAAAGTGACATGTACTTTGAAATGAGTTTCAATGTAATTATGCCTTAAGCTTTATTGTGCATATGAAATTGTGTTATAATGGGACACTTTCTTCCAAATTGCACTCTATTTAAATATGCCTAAATTAAACTGCCTAGTATCAAACTCTAGAAGTTTTAATCAACACTGGCTGAGTCATGTTGAACTGAACTTCCTTCCTGCCTCATTCAGCGTGACACTCTACTGGCCATGGTGATTGCAGAGGTCCCCCACACACCCACACACGCACAATTTTAAAGCTTCTAATTTATGCTTCTACTTGGCCCTACTCTGATCTTTGTCACATGGGCTACATTGAACAAAATCATGTGGTACATAACATCCTGCCATCCTCTGAAAGGGAATAAAATTCAGATATTTTCTCTTGTGGAGATTTCTCTGAAGCCTCATGTCCACTCTGGTATCTATCCATGATGGCTTTTTCTTTTATGTCTGCTTTAAGCTACCCATTTTAATGGATATTCTCTCCAGGTTTTGAAGGGAAACCTCTCTTTCCCTTTAAGGCCCCATTCATTGTGGCTGTAGTATAAGATAACATGTCTTTTTAATGCTTTCGCACTTTAAGATGCAATCATGGTCTCATGGCCCTTTTCCCCAATAAGGATAGTTTGTGTCATCTTCTTTCTGTAACCGACACATCTGCAGTCCTATTTTAGCGTGTATCAAAAGGGTTTATACAATAAATTTCTGTATGATTTCTTCTCAGTAAATGTTGCACTTCTATACTTCCATACGCAGAGTCACATAAAAGTCTCGGGCAAAGGTTAAGAGTCCATGCCTCCATTGCCCATGTCTACTCATCTTCCTGTCTGCCCTTCACAACCACCACTGTTTAACCAGTGTTTCATTGCTATGAAAAGATACCATGACCAAGCCAACTCTTCTAAAGCAAAGCACTTAATTGGGGCTTGCTTATAGTTTCAAAGGCTTAGTCCATTACATCATGGTGAGGAATATGGTGCCATGCATGTAGATGTGGCCCTGGAGCTGAAACTTTACTTATTGACCCACAGGCAGAGAGAAAGGGAGAGGGAAAGAGAATAGGCTCGGTATGGGCTTTAGAAATTTCAATGCTCATCCCCTATCCCATACTTCCTCCAACAGGGGTCACACTTCCTAATCCTCCTAATCCTTTTAATTAGTGTCACTCCCTGGTGACTAAGCATTCAACTATATGAGCCTATGTGGGTCCTTCTTATTCAAACCACCACAACCATCAATTCATAGCTTCTCTTCCTGCCAGCAGTCTTGGCGCCTTGCCACTCATTCTCTGATCTGACAGGAGGGACCACTCCACCTACTAATAAGGTCACATTGTCACAGCTGCCAGATTCTGGAGAAGCTGCCTGCTACACTTCGAATAATGCCCCTCCTCCTTGACAAGGCACATCTACCCTGCCTAACCCTCATCTGCAGGATACCCCTCTTGCGGCTGCACCCTTGTCTAAACTCTAACCAGTACACAGAGCTTGTCTGGTTGGTTTTAATCCTTCATATGGACTAAAGGCCCTGTACATCTCCCTATGATTTCCACAGCCTGACAGGTGACATTTCCTTTGTCATGCACCTCT